AGAGGTAGAGGGTACAAGATCTGTCTGTCTGGGGGCCTGCCTGGCCCTGTGCATCTCAGCTATAGTGCCTTGGTTCCTACATAGCTGCTGCCCCCAAGTTTATTTAGATATTCCAGAGCTGCTGGATAGAACATTTTCCTAATCAGAGGTTGGAGAGCCTTCCAAAAGTCCCTATATGTCAAGTCAGTGCTATGGGAAGGACCCTTAAACTCTGAGGGGGTCCTAAATTGCCTCCCCATTGGTCTTATTGCTGGTAACCTTGGGAAGGACACTCCATGGTGACTGGATGGTTTGATTCCTGGCTATCATATAATGTGACCATCCACCATTAAAAGGAACAATACAGAGGCAGGGAAATGGCTTAGTGGGTAAAGACACTGCGTAGTGTGAGGACCCGAATTCAGATCAACAATACACTAGGCAGGCATGGTAGCTACCTACAATTCCAGGCTACCTGGCTATCTGGAGCAGCTAGCACTGGCAAGCTCAAAGTTCAGCAAGAGACCATGCCTCAGTAAACCAAGTAGAGAGTGACTGGAAGAAAACACCCAAATTCAACTTCTGGCCTCCACACGCATGAACTCATACTTGTGAATACACACTCATATATGCATGCACATCACACACACACACACACACACACACACACACACACACACACACACAAACCAGAACAGAACAAAAATCAAGAAATAAGAACAAAATAGTAACATGTCTGGTAGCAGCCTAGGGACTGACAGAAGAGGACTGACAGAAGCACGTGATAAATTGGAGCAGCTAGGAGAAGACTAATGTGCACAACTTCAACCTGTGGAAACCCAAGTCAAAACTGTAAAACAGAACTCATTGCAGGGGTTGCCTGAGAAATGAGGGATACAGGAGCTTATAGGGGAATAAAGACATCCAGCTTCTCGCTCTGTGGCAGGTCATGGCTACTTCCATTTGGTGAAGCCTATCAAAGTGCTCGTGAACATAGACCCTGCCACTAGTAAACCTTAATAAAGCTAGCCGGGAAAGATCTTCCAGTCAGTACAATGCGATTCCCGATGTGACCCATGGGCCTGGCCACATCCAGGGACAAAGCTCTCTCCAAGGAACCTGGAAGAAGTGTGCCGTCCTTACAAATAGGCGGCGATCAAGTACCAGGGAAATGGGGAATTTGAAGAGGTTAAGTAGGGAACATCTCCGAGGTGATGGCTTTAACCAGGCTGCAGGTGAGTGTGCTCATATTCGGTGCCTTCTAGTCTTCCTGAATCACCCTGCGCCCTTCCCATCTGCCAGCCTCACTCCAGGTCCTACCTGGAGACAGCTACATCTTTCATAGCTATCAAAAAATCCTCCTTAATCACACCACTGGTTTTCTGTTGATTTTTCCCCCATTCTCCCATCCCAACATAAGGGGGACAGTCTCAGCCATACTTGGGTCACTGGCTTGGCAAACAGTAGACTCTCTTCCTTTTGCTTCTGGAAATTTCTGCAGGTTACAAAGGCAAGGCTGACCCTATTTTTTCCCCCAGCCTCAACCTCCTGCCATCTGTTGGGACCAAATGTAGCCTCCCCTGTCCCTTCTGCCTTCCCTGCCTCTAAATGATAACTTCCTTGGGTAGCCGTCACTCTGCAGTGTGGGGTGTACTACACTGAGGGCAAAAGAGTTCATCTGCCCTGGCTGCTTCTTTCTTCCCTCCCCTCTTTCCTCTCCCTGGCACTCCAGGGGCCTGGGAAAAGGGGTGGGATATTTGGTCCACATTTGAGAATGAGTATTTACTCCTAGATACTGGTTAGTTCTGCTATGAAGCAGAGACCAGCTCAGACAGCTCAAACCTGGGTACTTTGCTGAGCCACACACCTGAAAGGCATGGGATGGGCCAGGCAGACTCAGACATTCCTGGACTCAGGATTAAGAACTGGAGTTTCTCGATTATTCTCCTCTCTTTCACTCTCTGCCTCTTGTCCCCTGGTCTCTCTCTTCCTTGGTCTCTGCTTGCTCTTTTTCTCCTACCCTTTGAGTCTCTGCATATGCTACTATGGGTGCACACACACACACACACACACATGAATACACACATGAACATACACACATGAACACACACATGCACATGAATATACTCATGAATACACATACATAAATATATACATGAATGCACGCATGAGCACACATACACACATGAATACACATACACAGATACACACATGTGAACACACATATGAATACACACATAAACACACATAAGAACATACACACATGAATACACACACGAGCACGCTCATGCACGTGTGTTCACACACATACAGCCTCTCTTTTTCAGCCAGGAAACAAGAACTAAACAATAAAACTTTCAGCCAATGGGCATCCTTGGGCTGAGCAAGCTGGAGCCTTCAATGCACAGCCTATTATTTTGTCAGTTATTTCCAGTTATGTGTGTGTGTTGCCCTTCGGCTGGCCCTGTCCTCACAGGGTCCAGTACTGGGCCAGGTCCAAGGGTAGGAGGGGAGCGACAGGGTTAGGGATGGGTCAAGGCTGGGGAGGGACTGTTAACTCTCCTCCAGCTCTTGCCCAGGAGGCCCCTGTACCCAGATGAACTCCTGCAGAAACTTGTCTTCCCCACCTCCATGGCCATTGGCCTGGGAGGCTGGCAGCTGGGGGCTGGGGGCTGAGGCGAAGCCCTGGTCAGCATCAACCTTGCTGAATCCCCTGCCCTAACCTGAGCTCACATCAAAAGACCCTGGCTCTCAGATGTGAGGGCTTTAGCCTATAAATCTAGAGGATCTGGCCCTCCAGCTAATGAGCTGTCCTGGCTGGCTGGAGCAGAGACCCGGGATCCTGTTTCACTCTGGGGACCTGGAGACACAGACGGCCCATCCCCCTGCTGGGACCCTACTTGATGGGCTAGGCCTCTATGCTCAGTAAATCCTGGGGTCCCTGCCATGGAGGGCTTAAGGAGCCACTTTTTGTTCTCTGTGCTCCTGCCCCGAGGGGCCCTAAGGGCTGCTTCTGGGCCTACTTCTGGCCCCACAGGAATTTTAACCACTAACATCTGGCCCCCGGAAGAGCACATGTCCTCACCTCCTTTGATTGCCCTCACACAGGGGACTTTTTCCATTTTAATTTGAGGTGACCTCTGACCTGTATTCTCATTCCCATAGATTCCAGATATTTCCTGTACCCTCATATAACCCCCCAAGCCAGCCCCCACCTGACCATAGCCCCTGCTGAGGAGACCTTGCCTGCCTCCGATTGTAGCTGAGCTGGGCTGGGAACCCCCTACTCACCCCAGGGGCCATAGATGGCTGGACAACTGCCAGATACTCCCTGGAGTTGCGACCCTTTTGGCACACCCCAAGGACACCTGGAAGGTTTATTATAAGATAACAACAATAGATATGTTGGTAAGTATGACTCTGTGTCAGGGAGTCTGGTGACTCAAGGGTAACAGCTGCCAGAACTTGGGAGACAGCCTAGCTGGTAGGACCTGAATTGGATCCGCAAAACCCAACCCTGCCCCCCAAAAGAAAAAAAAGTCAAGAACAGTGATGTGACCTTTGTAATTTCAGTCCCATAGAGGTACAGACAGGTGGATCCCCAGGGGCTTTCGGGACAGCCACTCTACCCTACACCTGGTAAGTTCATGGCTAGTAAGAGACCCTGACACACACACACACACACACACACACACACACACACACACCACCAAACAAACAAACAGCAAAATACCCTAAGGTCTCACACATGCCCTCCCACACATGGATAACAGTTATCAATTGGCCAAAGAGGGAGCCACGTGCACACACACACACACACACACACACACACACACACCAACCAAACAGCAAAATACCCTAAGGTCTCACACACACCCACACAGAGATAACAGTTAACAGTTGACAGATG